ACTTTACAAACAATATTGTGGTGTATTAACATTCTTATTGTCATCACCTATACGATCAAAGAAGTATTCCTGACTCCTATGATATTGTTGTTGTTTACTGTGATCGGAGTCTCATCAAATAAAGTGCAGATGATGGGATTAATTGATTTTCAATTTTTGTAGGTTACGAAACAACAAAACTATAATGACCTCAAATTCATCGTTGAGAATATTTTTTTTTAATTTTATTTTATTTTCAGATTAAACCTTTACTGCAGAATTGCGATGTGATTCTTTGTTTCCCTTGCGTGTGCATGATTGAGAGTTATAAGGAGTATTAAGCTTTGAAGAAATGAAAGACGAACAGGAACCATTGCACTCGTGCAAGTTTCCCTTTTCAGCAGCATTTTTTTGGCTCGTTGTAAAGATCACACTTTGTATTTTGAACAAATGTTATTGATGTAATTGTTGCTTTTTCGTTTCTTTAATCTATTACTCTTTGGGATACCTGATAGATCAGGACAAACTAAGCCTACCTTATTTTGGTATCACAACAACCGACAAACGATCGGCTCCCCAATAGCTCTCAGTTACAGGTGTTTAAAACTTTTGACATGACTCAACGAGAAGAAGTTTATCAATTGTTCAGTGTGCTTTACACTTTCGTTTGATATAAAAAATTAACTAAGGTCTAAGCACTGTCGCTCATTGTTGTTCACTATTGAGATTGTTCTTCTTTCTCGTCTAGCTCATGATATCTTCGTCTGACTGCCTTATTGTACATTGCATTGACCCCTTTCTTTCCAAGTTTTTCAAGAAGTGGTTCAATGGTCAACAAATATCTAAAAGGGATGGCTACATCGATGTCTTTAACAATTTTTTCATTACATGGTGTCCGATTAGCCAAACCAAGCAGCAGCCCGAAGAGTGAACAAAGGTCTGGAACGAAATTAGACTTCAACTGTTCATACAGATACAACGTTCCATCATTCAAACGACATATCACAAAGATATCCTCTTCATCCATCAACACTCCATCAGGATTTTTAGTCTCTGATGAGAAACATAAAGCATAAACCATTTGTTGCATAGCTTGAATGTTGTTCTTGATGTTCGGTGCAACCATTACAATCAAATTTTTGGAAAAAAAGGCTGGATAGATTTCGCAGTTCACACTTGGTATTTCCACCTTGGCGTTCATCGTAAAAGGGAGACCCACGACTTCCTGATACATAGTTGGTAACCATGCCAAGCGTTCTTGAAACAGGCGACTATAATCTGTCTTTCTGTCTTTTCTTTTAGGAACATTAAAATTTTGATCAATCACTAAATCCAAACAGCAGTTTCTAAACTGCTTCCATGATTCTGGATATAAGTGAGACCTGAGTTTATGTTCTTCTTTGAAACGTTTTTCATCAGCAATGCAAAGA